TTTGACTAAAAAAAATTCAAAATAGTAAAAACATGTAGCTAGGACCTCGTTATTGAAAACTATAATCAATTACTAGACATTCACAATTTGAAATCATGAGATTTAAATAATGAAATTGAAATTCGAAATAATGAGATTTTAAATAATGAAATTGAAATCTACAAAAGGTTTATTTGCTGTGAGAGAGGGGATATGATGTGCAGTACTACTGTCAAAGACGAAAGGGAGGACCCTGCCCTAGGCCAAAAGGACTACTCCCTCTGTCCCAAACTATTTTTCACATTTGTCTTTTTGATAGTCGCGGGAAGTTTTATTTATTTCTACGTTTTCATTGGTTATTTGATAAAATAAAATACTCTTGACACCTCTTATTTTAAAAAAAATTTCATGTAATTTTTTTATATGTACTTTTTATTTTTTATTTCTTTACTAATATGTAAATAAAATGAATTGAAAAAACTTGATATTTTGCCTCAGTAATAGAAATGTGATAAATAATTTGGGACGGAGGAAATATAAAAATGAGTACGTGTCATTATTAAGATATGAATGGTCCATACTCGAAGGAAGCCATGCACGCATGAATAAAAACCCACCCCTACCCATCCCCCTAAATGAGACTACCCCTTAGTAGAACACACCATCCCTAAAGAGGGGCAACTACCCCTACGCCCGGGCAACTACCACTAGTGCACGTACCCATTATTCACACATTTCTTTTGCACAGTTTCCAGGTAAAGGGTGCTAAGAAAATAAGATTCGAGTTCAATTCCTGATAACTGTGTTGGGAGCAATTATGTTAAGCATAAGGTCTCTGCAAGTACCAGGTGCAAGCTCTACTCCTTGCCATCGATTTACAATTAAAGTACAATTTACCTGCTCTCAGTGATCGTCCGGCCGAGTCTGGGAGAGCCCTCGGGGATGGGGCTCATCCTTTTTTTTCCTAAAGTAAATTCTTGTATGGGTTAAGGCTTATGATTATGAGGGCCATGAGGGTGTAAATCAAATGACTAGGCTTATGATTTTATACCAAATCTAAGATGATAAACTAAGTCCTTCAAAAAACTAAGTCGAAAGACTAACTACCAAGATAAAACACGCAAATCATGAAGAAAGCTATATAGATGGAAACACTTATAGCCTAATTATTATTATTATTTCTGAAAGAAACATGGCAATGATGTAGTTTAGAACTTACAGACTTATGCATATATAGAATGAAAATCAAATCTCTCCAATGAGGATTTTACAAAAGTATTTATAGCACAAGTAGAGAGACACTACCACTACTACAAAAACAAGCAAAGAGACTATATCCCAATTGAATGGATTGTTGAGAAAACAGATGCAAAAAGGGGAAATGCACGTGTGATGCAGTTGATTAATGGCATCAACTATTTTGTATAACCGATACTAATACCTTTTTATACTTTTTGATTTTTTTAAAATAGCAAGGGTATCGATTTTGTAAGATAATGGATGCTTTTGGGTATTTGAATCGGTTATTCATTTTGACCGATGCTCATACCATTTTTTAGGGTAATTTGCCTAAATAGGACTAAAACATAATTACTTTCTCAATATAGGACCATACGTTTTTATTTTCTAATGTAGGATCATTGGTCATTATCTAGTAGTCATTATTCAACTAAATGTCCAACATTATTTGGACATTATTCTTCTCACTAGTCATTATTAAGTCTTATTTAGGAAATAAAAAAGTTTAAGTCCTACATTAGAAAATGACTTGAGTTCTAATTTTTTCATTTGCACAATTTGAATTCGGTGAGTTTCGTTCGCGATTTTGGTGTCGTTAGTCGTCGCCGCCGTTAAATCACCCACTTCCGTCGCCGCCCTCGTCTTCTGCTCCCCCCTTCATCGTCTTCTCTTTGCTTCGTCATCTTTTGCCTCCCCTCATTGCATCACCCACATCCATTGACTCTCTCCTCACCTGCCTCAACTCCAATGCTCTATAAATGGATAATCAAAAATTCGATTACCATTCGCATCCGTATCCGTTTATATGAAAAATATCTGCATCCGTTAAAAGCGGTTATTATCCGTATCCGATTAAGGATATTCGATTGCTAAACGGATACTGATTTGGTAATCATACATCTGATCCGTTTATGATTCGCTCCGCATTGACATCTGTTTAAATAACCATTTATCCGCGTATCTGGTCCGTTTTATATATTTTTTCTTAATTTTTTATTATTATATTTTGTTTCTTTATTGATATCTCAAAGCATAAGACATTTTTATATGCAAAATATATGTATATATAGACACATAAAAATATGTGTAGACATATAAAAATATATAAAAATATGTGTATATATGTACTATGTATATCTTTTTATGATATGAAGTCATCGTAAAATATCATAAACTATAAAAAATAAGAAAATAATTATCCCATAAAAAATTATAGTTGATTTAATAATATATTGATTTAGTTTAATTGAAAATTAAATTATTGTTTAATTTGGTTTTAAATATTGAAAACGGATACAGTTATATCTGATATCCGACGGATGCGGATACGGTTTTGATTTTTAGTATCCGTCAAGATCCGTATCCGAATTTGATATCCGACAAAATTAAATAGATACGAATTTGGTAATGGTACATCCGATCCGATTAATATCTGTTTACACCCCTAACTGCCTACCTCCGCTGCCACCCGCCCACGGTCGGTCCGTCAAGAGTTGTTGCCACGGCCACACCTGCGCCGCCCGCTACCACACCTCATCTGATCTGCCTGCGCCGTAGTATAGCCCGCTGCCACAAGTTTTTTCTCTACATACTGTTTATATAAATTCTTCAATTTTAGTATAATTGTTATTTTGTGTTTGTCAATTAGAATAGACTCTGATATGTGTTCTTATTTTTTTGTACTCCCCCTTTCATAAAACAGTTCATGTTTTGATTTTTAGAAAAATAAGAAGTGTATATTTGTGATTGACTTTCTAATTTTGCCATTAATGTGATATGTAGATTATTAGTGGAAAAGTATGATGTGATAGGTAAGGTAAGAAAAAAATAGGAATAAAAGTAATTTTCTAAAAAAACAAAAAATGAAAGAGGAAGTGTTTAAATGGAAAGAGTATGTTAATGTTCTTGTTCTTTTTTATTTGTTGTTTTTGTATGTTGATTTTGTCGTATATTGCCTTTTTCAAGCTATATGTGTTCTTTTAATTTGGATAAAATTAATAGAACTCACATAGTTACCCGTTTAAAATTTATTATTAGGAGTAAGTTATAAATAGTGTCTAATTTGGGGGTTGTTCTTGAACGGCTTACCTCACTTAAGATGTAAGTGCAAACTTTCTTTTCTGTTCCAACACTTTTCGTCACAAGATTTTCTCTATGCATTCTTCGGATGCATATGTAACTACTTTACATCGTATACTTGTAGAACTATAAGAAAATGTTGTAAAAATTTAAATGGATCGAAAAAAATACATTTACTAGTGAGAGTCACAATTTTAGAATGAATTAGGTCGGAATGATAAAGACCAGCTAATTGATAAAATTTGGATTTTAATTTGTGGTGAAGTGAATAGGTCCATTTTGGATTGCATGATATATATTAGTTGTGTTGAATTCTATGTGAACGTTATACATATGTATGTAAATTGTACTTCCTCTGTCCCAATTTATAGTGTCTGTTCACTATTTACATGGTCAAATTTCATTCATTTTCTTTCTTTATTTTCGTTAACAATTTGATAAAATTAAGTAATATTGTCACTTCTAATTTTGTACTCCCTCCGTCCTATTTTAAATCGCCTGGTTTGACTTTTGAACATATTTAAGGAAGAGAAAAAATAAAGTTGATTTTCCAAAATTGTCATTACTTTTTAGGAAGGGTATGAATGAAAAGATAAGGTGGAAAAAGTGACTTATTTTAGAGGTAGTTTAGGTATTTTACTCTTAAAAGTTTACGATAACAAGTAACAGACAACATATTTTGGAACAGAGAAAAAAGATAAACAGACAATTTAAAATGGAACAGAGGGAGTAGTATTTTAATATGCAGTTATTATTTTTCAACTCTCTACCATTTGTCATGTAAAATAATTTGAAAATAATTTCAGTCAAACATCGTAAACTGAAACAGACACTTTAAATTGGGACGAAAGGAGTATGTGATCATAGTCACACATTTGAAGGGGGCTTAAGACAAGGCTAAGGTGGGATAGGGGTAGGCAATTTAGAGAATGGGTTAAGAGGTAAGAACCATCAATTTTGCGAACTGAGCACCAAAGATACTTTAAAATGCAGTGACATCGCTAGTGGCACCATTGGTCAGTGTCAACGAAACCATGTTCTAATGTTATTTCATTTACTTCTTTTTTAGTGTACAAACTTGCATCTTCTGATGAGTTTTTAATGAGGTCGTATTGTCATCTTACATTTTTTTCAAACTATATGGAGTACATATTTTCCTTTTTCTTTTATTTATAATATTGTGGCATAAACCAAAAATTTAATTAAAAATGTAAAAGAAAATATGGTAATAGCTTTCAATGACAAATTTCAATAGTTTCATTATATTTTCATACAAAAATGCAAGTGCGAGAATGAATTTAAATATTCAAAAAATAATATTCCTTGAGTCGATCCAAACACAATAACATTTAGGTGATGAATGCATTTTTCTAACACAATCTTGAAATTACTTGAACTCCAATTTACCGAACATTAACCAGACCTAACCGACCTATTTGCCAGCTCTAGTTGTGGCAAGGTCACTAGCTATCAAAGACTTGCCTCTTGAGAAAGTACAAAACTGATTTTTATCGGCACCCACCTATATATGGTGGACGAAACTTTTCTTTAGATTCGCTCAACAAAAATGTTGTGTGCACCAAACTGTCCTTTTTAAAGACAGTTGACCATTTGAAGTCTCAGGGCCTTGGGATGCATTTGGTTCAAGCAAATTAGCAATCTCCTTTTAAAACCATATTTTTGGTCTCCCAAACAAAACAAAAAAAGTCAAATATCTGGTGTCATATTATGACACACCCATGATGTGTGTGAAAAGAACCTAGCTCCTTACAAACAACAATGTCAATTCAAAGGTTTTTACAAAGACAGCCCCCATCCCAGCCTCTCCAAAGAACAGATACTTGCCAATCACATTAAATGAGATATAACTAGCAGCAACTATTTCCTAATTCTTTCACCAACAAAAAAAAACCATATTTTACACGGTCGAATTTCAAGTAGAAATTAAGATTGCACGATGGGAATTGGGAAAATCAAGTGAACCGGGAACAAATTGCTAAGTGAGAAAAAAGTGAGTACCGACATTTGTTTTCATCACACCAATAGCATTACATCTCCACTCATGACTCTTGGGGCACAGAAGCTTGTCTGAGTCTACGTTGGTGTACATCCCAGTTGTATATCCGAGCAGTCATGACCTGAGCAAAGCAACATCATGAGCGCATAAACGAAATGTGTGATTAGTTAATGACCAAAGATACACTATATTCTAGCCAAAAAGACAAACGGAGATGTACTAACATGACCACAGTGTGAACAAGTTTAAGGTCTAGAGGAGTGTAGAAATAAGAACTACCTGAGAAATTGTCACTTGGTCCCTCAAAAATTGGAGGTCCCCTACAAGAACCTCCAAGCTAGCTTTTGCATTCTCCAAGTTCTTCTGAAGAAGAGAAGTAGCCTGCACCAAGAAAACTCACGATCAATTAAGGGCTAGTTTGGCATTGTTTTTATTGCGTCAAAATGTCGAGTTGAGATGTGAAAAAAAACCTCTTTGGTGAGTTAATGATATAAAGGGAGGTACTGTTGGTAAATTCAAAAATTCATGATATAAGTTGATGTGTTGCTGTTTGGATTCAACCTAAGGAAGCTGTGACTTTAAAGATGTTTATAGTTTTGGTGTTTAAGCCACAACAGCATTTTGTTTATCTGGCTCTTTTACAAGCTTTTGGGAAAGTATATATCATGGCTGAAAAGACACAACGATACGTAATTGGCTGTTAGACGTTTACACCTTCCTTTGGTGTGTGAGGCAGGCAGTCTGATAAGAATTACTAGTAGGTACCTCATCAAAAGAATACTCCAGCATGACATTTGCTCCTAACCACAAACATACAGAATCTGTATCTTCAATGCGAGCACGAGAATAAATGCCCTCTGACACTTCAAAATCTGCAATTAGAGCCTGCACCGAATATACAACAAATGAATTCATTCTTAATCCATACGAGCCTAGGCGGAGATCTGTCGAGCCAAGAAAAAACAGATTTGTTAATAATTGTTTTCCATTTCTTCCAAATTTCAAAACTTATTCTATTTCAACACGGCCTTACTCATCAAACAGGCCCTCAGTTTATCAACCATCTCAACACTGTTGCCTCATGAATCGTGATATTTTCCATGAAAAAAAGAAGCATGCCACCCACGCCAATGCAGTTGTGGTAACGGAAATGATCATCATTATTAAGGTAGAATTGATTAGATTTTTTTTCTTGTTTGAAAGGTAGAATGAATTAAATTAAACTCTGTATACATTATGTTATGTACTCCCTCAGTCCCTAAATAAATTTCAGTTTTACTATTTATTTGTCTAAATTCTTCTTTTCTTATTTATTTTAATCATTTCTTACAATAAAATAGTCACGTCACTTCATGTTCTATAGAAATTATGATGTAAGTTTTAAAAACTCCATCCTAAAATTATTTTCTCAGTTTGACTTGGTAAGCTAATTAGTGAAATGAAATTGTGTGGCTGTGGTTTATTCAAAGATGATATAAAAATGTCAACCACACAAATCCTTCCTTAAAAGGAAATGGAAAGAAAAAATTTAGGGCATCCAAAAAGGAAAGAAAAGAAAATTTTAGAATGGATATAGTATATAAATTCTATTTTAGAATTTTACACAAATATTTAAAATTCGGTCAAACATCGTAAACCAACAATTGAAATTTATTTATGAACAAATGGAGTATAATCTTAAAAGAATGTCGCATGCTAAGAAAGGACATAAAAACTAGGATTTTTTAGACCCCAAGCTGCTTAAGGTAGAGCTTTGTCGAGACCCAAAACTCCAAAAGTCTAGTTTGAATCAATTCAAAGTAAGACCCTCCTTATATACACAGGTGGACCAACGTGGAGTCCCATGGGCTCTTGGGACCCCACGGACCTCCATGTAGGATTGTACTAGGTAGATATATTGTTTAGTCCATATATTTTACTAATGTTGAAACTACCAACATAATGCACAACAGTGCCACGGAACAATGGAACATTCAGGCATGGGTGCTACTTTTTGCCTTTGGATTCACAGTTTCAAACCCCTTGCAGTCAATATTTTTTTATAATTCATTACAAGGACTTGAAACCCTTATCACTGAAACGGTGCCTCATTTCAAAATTGAATACAAGAATGTTTTGTTTAAAGGTATTAATTAGAATACTAGTAAAATGGTAACGATTTTAAACCAAACCGTTTAAGCTGCTTTTGACTAATTAATTTCAATATTACCCCTATATCTTCAGATTCTTCACGAAAAGCCTCATGTGCCCTTTCGCATGGGATGGAGAGAGAGTAATATTTATTTCAACTCGTTTTAACTTTTCAAGTTTCTTCCAACTCCTTCATGCTTCTTCCTAACTAATTTCAGTTTCTTCCTTAACTCCAACTTCTTTCAGCATCCAACTTTGGTTATCCATCCCAAAAGAACGTAGTTGAAATCACATATTTTGGAAGACTAGAACTTTTGTTATTTTGTTTTGATTTGATTTTGGTCATTTTATCTTCTTACTCACTTATTGCTGGTTGAGTTATAGAACTATATTGTCTGTGATTCATATTTATACTTGCTATTTTTTGTGTCATGTGGTGACACCATATAAGCAGCACCATCGTCATGGCAAAGTGGATCATCCACATTACTTTAACCAAACACCACGCCAATTATGGTTGTGAAGTGTAAAGATGTGGTCTAATTGTTGGACAAATTTTAAGGCATAAAAGGTTGATATCTAAATAAATGCATAGAATTAGAACGAACCTCTCTGGCAGCTTTCTTAGCTTGCAAAGCGGAAACAATATCTAAGCATTTCTCAATGTCGGGAATCTTTGCCTGTTAAGTGTACACAAGCACCAATCCAACAGATATTTTTTAATAACTTTGACCAGAAAATTGTAAGGAACGGAAAAGCACAAAATAATTTCTTATAAATTTGGACCAGACACTTGAAAGGAGCAGAAGAGCATAGTTTTTGTTATAATAGTTCTAGCTACGGATCAATACTATATCTGTTACATAGACCCTTTTAAGTCTTTTAACAGAAACTCAAACCTGTGTTCCATACCTACCGCTAGAATAAATTATACAGGTACATCAGACATTTTTTCCAGAATAGAAATTGTCAACTTTGATATAAACATTATGCAATGATTGAAAAATATATTTTAATTTACAATGTTTCAAATGATTGCCTTGGCTACCCATATGGTTATATTACATGATCAATTATTTGGTATACTTTAGGCTATATTCTTTAGGGTTGGATAAATAGGGATGTTGGAAAGAGTTGGAAGAAACTGAAATGGGTTAGAAGAAACTAATAAAAATTGTAAGAAGTTGGAAGAAACCTAAAAAAGTTGAGAAGAGTTGGAAAAATTGAAATAAACAATCCTCCATCCCAAAATAAAGGTGTCAGATTAACCATTGTTGTCAAACGTCATCGAGTTTGACCGCTAATTATTCATGCGTCATTATATTTTACCACACGGGCATATGAAAATTTAATATTTGAAACTTTATGTCAAAACACATTTATCAAGTGAAATTTCATATTATAAAACGTGATGATGCATGAATAATAAACAGTCAGATTCGATGAAGTTTGACTACAAGAGTCAAATTGTTACCTTTAATTTAAGGCAAGAGTATTAATTTTTTTAAATACATATTTTATTAAAATAACTTATAATCTCTTTGTTTCCCTATTTTTATCGATTCTTACTTGTTCTTGTATGTCCCATCGTTTGTCTAATGCAATACGTGGAAGTATTTAGTACTTGTAATAGTTGTGTGACACATTGATTTTTACTATCTCTTACTTTTTACATAAATATTAACCATACAATTTTACGTTTTTTAAGTTGCACATCACTAACCCAAGTCCCAAAAAAAGTGAGACAAATGGAACAATGTTTTTTTATTAATATTAATTGAAAAGAACGCTTAAGTTATTGATTTCAATTTTTATTGCATGTAACAAATAGAACAATGTTCATAGAAAACTCAATAATGCGATCACTTTTAACATAACTATATTGTCAAATGATCTAATATATGATGCTTACATTAATTAGAATTTATGTAACTAAAATCTTGTGTCAATTTCTATATTCAAATTTTGGTGGATTTTGCCTGCCAAATTTTATGAACTTCTATTATAAATTATTAGACTACAGCCTTCCCAATAACAAATTCATGTTTCAGTTTACGATGGCTGACTAAAGTTATTTTTAAATCATTTTATTTGAAAATTAGTGTAGAAATTTTAATAAAACACTATATTTAAAAATTACATCAAAAGTTCTACAAAAGTAGAAATTTTATAAGTACATTATTTTACAAAATGACTAATGAAAATATGTAAGGAAAATTATCAGTTTTGCCTTAAAATAGTAATTAATTTTTTGGGGGGGAAGCAGGGAGTATTTATAACATATTAATTGCGTTGTTAGATAAGGCCTTGTTGTTGTTGTATTAATTCACTTGCTTTATTATTTATTGACTTATAATAATAGTACTAATAATAATAAAATGAAAAATGTATGCAAATAATTTTTGCTAATATTGCAAGGAATTGAAGAAATTAAAAGCAGTTAGAAGAAACTAAAAAGAGTTAAAAGAAATGGAAAGAAGTTGAAATTTAGCACTCTGACCTAAAAAAAGAGCCTCATTAACCATAGAATTCCTTATTCATATCAAATTACTAGTGATGTACAACTTAACTAGCAGAAGAACAAAAGCAAAAACAGTAAGAGGTAATTCACAACATTAGAAAACCTAAGATAGCTTCGCATTGAGAAAAAAAATAATCACTAAAATGCACCTGAAGATCTCTCTGCTGAGCCAGAAGTTTCATTTCAACCACTCTGTATTGCTGAAGTCTGCAAACAAGATTACAATATATCACAAATAAAGAATAAATGAATTAAACTGTACCTCAATAAAACAGGGAAAAAATGAAGAAAGGTAAGAGCTACGAAGGCAGAATTATGTGCAGACCATATATATTTATTAAACTACTCAAAAATAGATAGCTCCACATAGTTTATATTACGTGGGGCTTATTGGCATAATACATATATCATATCAGCTGCCTATTTTGAAAGTCAGAAATCAATAGCAGTACAGAAAAAAGAAAAAATCTTTAGAAAGATCTTGATCATGGCATTCTGAAAGGCATACAAACAAGTTATATACTACATATCCATGTCCATTGACGCAATGATGTTAATTTAAGAAAGTGGGGGCTCAATGTGCTTGAGAGATCAATAAAACACATTTTTGAACTATTCTCATTAAAAATGAATGTTGGCTATAAAAAATGAATGTTTAAATGAGTAACACAAGTGTTATCAAATCAATATGCACTCCGGCTCAAAAGCTATGGAGTAGATGCTTAAAATAATACAAAAACTCATGCAAAAAAAATTGAAATATAAAAAAAGGTGTATAAGTCAAATACAGTTGTAACCAATAAGGCAATAACCATTAAAAATACATATGAAACTAAGTGCAGATAACGGAAAAACGAACCAATCCCCGTCACGGGGTGTGTATAGAATGTGAGCAGGTATATTATACATCCCGATGTACTTTGACTCTTTGAGCATCCAATATCTAAAAATGAGTATCCTTTTAAAGTAAAATGAGCTTTTCCCACAACAAAATGTGCATTCTCCACGAGAAAGCACAAACACCAGGATCAAATGAAATTAGCATTATTCATAGCTCTAGTGAGCATGTTGTCCAAAAAATTAAAAAAAAAACCATGTGTGTAATATAATTAGCTGTTTAGAACCCAATAAATGAGTTGCTTCAAGATTTGGAATTCAATCTTTTGATTGGGAACACTAATTGAACCAGGAACTAAACTCTCAGAGGAATGAAACACTAATCAATCCAGGAATAAATGAATAGATACCAAACAACTAACAAGATGAAATACTAGAATATTTAAATCAATTGGAGAATTGAAAGAGAAGGTAACACTAAAATCCATAGATTTGATTGGAACTGATAAACATACCAAACAATGCATTCCCCTGCTCAATGAAGCACGAAAAGTCGAAAACTAACAATAAGAAAAAAGAGAGAAACCTTTCTTGGAGGAAGGCTAGAGCGGAGTTGACCTCAAGGCCGGAATCTGCCAGATACGCCCGAACGTCTTCCACGAATACCGCCGCCGGAATTCCTCTCCTCTCCATCAATCCGAAGGAAGACGATGAAGATTCACCATCCGCCGCCATCAAAAAGCTAAGGTCCGGTGGCGATAATGGTTGATGCCACAACGCTCAGCTTCGGCAGCAGTAGTTGCAGTGAGGAAGGGGAAGAGGAAGAAGAAAGGTAATGGGATGGAACTACGTCGTTTTGTAATCTAGCCCGCTATTAGCTACTTGACGCGGCCCAAGTTTTGTGGGCTTGTTACTTCGATATTGCTGTTTTGAACTCAAGAGTCCAAATAAAAAATGTTCGGACTAAATGGCCCATTCATAATGATGTTGGCCTGCAAACGTGTGATATTTGTGTTAGACTAATACAGTCTGCAAACAAGATTGGGTCCATGTTACATACGGACTACTATTAGGTGGCCACGATTTTTCTTTCTTTCTTTTTTTTTTGGCATCAAATCAAATTTCTTGGAATATCATATTATGACATTCCTAAACTTCTACCATGGCTTGAGTGATAGGAAGTCCACTCTCCAAAATTCATGGGAAGTTCACCCAAATTCGAGTCCCAGCGGAGGCGGAAGCATTGAATCTTTCTACGTCATTAAGTTGAGAATAGTATGAACAGATACTACCTTGTAATAGAGTTAATCGCATTCAAAAAAATATCGTGACATTTCTCAATTTGAGATACTTACCGTACTCTTTTTACTTTGGAAGTGATTTTGTACTTTTTAACCTCCCCTCTGGACAACACCTCACTCCCCACGTGTTAGTTTCATTTGTTTTTATTGATTAATAATCTTTGTTGAGTTTTGTATCACCAGTTGGATTACTTTTTGACAAACAAATAGTTATTATCAATAATAAATGTTAGTCGATTTAATTTAAATAGAGTTGTAGCATCTTATCTATCAAGATATTTCTGCAGAAAGTGTTGCATCAGGAATTCTGTTCTTCGAAAATATCTTGTTATTCTAAAAAACCAGCTAGCCGATATTTATTTGATAATGGCCAAGAGCCCAAAGCATATTTGAGTCTTCTTAATGTTTTATGCGCGAAACATGAGGAGGTGGAGTTGTGCAAACCGCGGGCCTATTTTGTTGGAGTGATAGTTTTCTTGGTGTCAAGTGACTTGTCGTGCAAGAAAGTTCTTGTATGAACTCTACAATAGTTGTTTTATTCGCTATATAAGCTACGCCAAGCCTCGTGGTTAGATACATCGAATACATGCAAAATATTTGTGAGGCTTCAGGTTTTTACAAGAGTTCATCTTATACGCACAAAGAGACATTATTGAACTTTAACGCACTAAGTAGAACAGAAATTGATGAAAACTAGTTTCTATTATTGAACATGTCAAAGAGAATGATCCAAACGCATTATTGAACTTTAACGCACTAAGTAGAACAGAACTTAGACATTATTGAACTTTAACGCATTATTGAACAGAACTTTAACGCACTAAGTGTAACATGTCAAAGAGAATGATCCAAACAGCATTTGGAGTCAAAATTTGATAGAATTTTTGGATGGAATAAGGACTACTGAATTGGTCATAAGATACTTGGTTGAACCACATTAAAACATTGGATCTAATTAATTACTTAGCTCAACTCAAGAGTTTATATACCAATTATTTTCTTCTCACTTTTTCGATGTGGGATACACTCTAACAAGTCATTCGTAAGTAGATTTGTCAACACATTAGAAAATGTTCTATTGTGATTAACTGATATCTAATCTTTTATGATGATTAAGTGAAAGCTATTACATGGACACATGCCTTGCAAATGTAGGAGAATTTACTCCAAACTATGTAAATGACTGTTTATGCCGTTTACTACTCTATATTACATATGTGGGTGATTGTGACAGAGAAGATGATATAGCGCACCATCTATCATTAGTGTCTCTTATCAGTGTTATGGCCTTTTTTACATTTTTAATACACATCTTATAAAATTGAATTAAATAAAACTTCTTTTTAATAATTTAAATGACAATAATTAATTAAATTAAAAAATTACATCCAATAAAAAAATATTTGAAAAAAATACATTAATAAAAACTAAGGCAAATTATATTTTGCATTGATCTCTTTTTGTCTTCTCTCGTAAAGCATACCTTTGAAACCCGATAACGTATCAAGGTCGGTTTCCATTGTTTCGGTCTCTTCCTTTTGTTGCCTTCATTTCTCCCTCTCTTCTTCCCTAATATTGAACACATGCAGTTGTTCAACTATTGTCCAGTCGATTTCATCATGAGAGGAAAGAGAGTTGGGCCCTCTAGAACCCGAGGCAATCTATTTTGCCTTCTTCCTTCCCATCGGCCGTGGAATGAGATCTTCATCGTCAGAGTCGTCGGGGTTGAAGGGAGGCCTTTGCTCCGAAGATCCAATAGTCTCATAGGCCTCAACCTCAGTGGAAGATCTTTTCTTTGACAATCAGGCCTCGGAGTTGTTGAGTTATTGCCACTTTGGTGAATGACTTAAATTTTTAAAAAGATCAGCACAGACCTTGTCTTGGTGTTTGTCGTTATGATAGCGGACGGTGGCTTACCACAGAACATCGATCGACATCGTTCGTCCCGCTCTTTAGAGACTGAGAGAATTCCTCGTAAACTCCGAAAAACTTTCAGACTTTATAGTTGATGTGACCCAATTTGGCTTCGGTAGGAGGCATTTTTGTTCATTGCCGCAAAGAACTTCTCCTCAATACGATCCCGCATTGCATCCTTTGTTTGCTCGGAACCTTTGCGAAATATATAATTGAAGGAAAAAAATTTAATACAAAATATAAAAAATAACATAGATACAATATATATTAAAAAAATTTACAAATGATAGGAGGCTCGGAGACGTCGACCCAAGTGGAGGCCAACAACGATTCTTCATCCAGGGTCCACTTTTGAATAGGGATGTAAACAAATATTAATCGGATCAGATGTGCCATTACTAGACTCATATCCATTTATTTTTATCGGATATGGAATTCATATACGAATCTAGACGGATACTAAAAATCAAAACTGTATCCGCATCCATCAAATATCGGTCGGATATCGAATATATTCGTATCCGTTTCCAATTTTTTAAGTTAAATTGAAAAATACTTTAATTTCCAATTAAAGTCAAAATATTATTTATTCAATTGTAATTTGTTGTGGAGTAATGTTTTCTTATTTTTTATAATTTATAATATTCTACGTCAACTCCATATGGTAAAAAGATATATACACAATACACATACACGCATATTTTTATGTATCTATACATATATTTTGCATATAAAAATGTCTTATACTTTGAGATGTCAATAAAAAACAAAATATAATAATAAAAAATTAGGAAAAATTATATATAACGGATCGGATATACAGATAAACGACTACTTAAACGGATATCTATGTGGAGCGTATTATAAACGAATCAGATGTATATTTACCAAATCCATGTCCATTTACCAATCGGATATCCTTAATCCGATACGGATAATTACTTCTTTTAAAAGATACGTATATTTTCTGTATAAACGGATATGGATGTGGACGGTAATCGAATTTTCGGTTATCCATTTACAGTTCTACTTTTGACTGGACCGTGCCGCATTGGTCATCGGCTTGTCGCCCTTTGCTTTGTGACTCTTTCAACGTACACTTGTTTTTGATGCACTTGGTTCCAGTTGAGTCTCTGAAACCAACTCCAAGTCTTGGAGATTCACCGAAGTTTGCATATCATACATCGACGAATTACCAACGTATTATTAAAAAATCCACATCGCTTCCTCGCTTGGCTCGAGACCGGACCAAGGAACATTAAAACCGAAGGAGTTCATGTTAACAAAGATGAAAAAAATTGAAGAATTTTTTTATTTGAAGAAGAGAGAGAGAATTGATTTTGAAAAAGATTGAATTTATAGATTTTTTGTTTAACGGCTAAAAGAGCCGTTGGGGAGGGGGTCCACGCACTTTCGTGCATTAAACCTTTGACGCACTCCAGCTGATGCCGGATAACGCATTAGGGGGAAGTATTTAACACAGCCTTGGCGTTAAGCGTTGAATGAAGTCCCCTGGCGTTAAGAGTATTACCAGTGCTCTAACATGTGTGTTTTACATATTTTTGAAACAACCTAGGGGTAAATTCATTAAAACTATATTTTTTGGGGGTTGAAAAATAAAATTGAATGTTTGAAAATGTTTAAAAACTAGAAAGATTTTTAAAAAATTAGAAAGAATTGTAAGAATTTGATTGTTTCTAGAATGGTCTTTTATTTTGCTTTTTTTCATTTACCCCACACGGCACACCCCAACCCTTATTTAAATACGGAGTATATAAGAAAATGGTGGATTGGTTTCTTAAGTATTTATATTATTTAATTTTTTATATATCCTATCAACAACTAAAATAGTCCATTAAGTGTAAATGTAAAGAGTATAGAGATTTTTTTAAGATAACTTGGTTATAAGGTCAACTTGTAAAGTGTAAATGTAAAGGGTAGAGATATCGTGATTATCGTCTCTATTGGGTTATTTACAATGCTTCATTTGTAAAATTGATTGTTCTTACACCTTTACCTCCCCCTCTACCTCCACTCAGTCCCGACCACAATTCATTCCCACTCACATGAGTGGTAAGTGCACTATAAGTGTAGTTGACTTTAAGATAATTAACTTTTTTATTCTAAATTTAACTAAATTTAGCTTGCACCATACAATTGATGTAGGTGAGGGACTAGTTAGAGATGGAAAGGGGTAGGGAGTTTCACAAGATACTTAGACATAGGAAACATCATTTTTACGAACGAAATATCGTAGAAATTTCAATTGAAACGATGTCTTCCACGACTTTTCAAAAAGAGTGATCATAGAGTGTCTTTAGAAAACTATAGAGGATCAAAATATTAGGTGCAACATAGCAATTTTATTAAAATAATAGCACGACACTCTATCTCGTGATTGTTAGTGTTAGCTAATGATTCAATTAATTTGATTATAAAATATGAACAAAATATCATGTCATTATCACCTAGATACATATATGTGCAGATGAGCAGTGTTTCTTAATAATGCATGCCCTCTATATTGGAATACCTTTTTAAAGTGTGGCGACTTTTTTAAATATTTCATCTCTCTAAAATAATTTATATTTTTACTATTTAAATCTCTCAATAATTTTTATT